GTTATAATTGTACCCCATTCCTCCATTCCCTACTAACCAAAGGTAAGATAAATGCCAAACCCTGACCTCTGATCAGGGTTGCGATGTTTGGCGCTGGAGGGAACCGGATGTTGGTGGGGGGTCGGGTGGCGGGGGGCTGGGGGGGCTGGGGGGCTGGGGGGCTGGGGCTTAGGCTGAAGCTGAGGCACCTGGAAGTTGTGGACTTAGGTTTGGCATTCGTTCTAGGGATTCTAGGGGATTGATCATCACTCCTGAATCCCCCAAACCCAAACCAAGACACCAAAACAAACATGAAGCTCGATGGTGTCAGTCCACCAGGGGGGAAAAACCGGGTCCCCTAACCACTCAAACACCCTCACACAAATGCCTCTGACCCAAAACAGCATCCACACCTCATGAAGACCTAGAGCACCCGGTCAAAACGCAAATCCCAGGATAGCCTAGGTATTCCCAGAACTTTCGTCCACAGAACATCAAGCAGACAATTCGACGACACGTGGGTTCTCGAAAGTGCTCTTCTGAGGGTTACTACAAGGGGCTCTATGAAGGGTTTAGGTTTCCGGGGTTCAAGGTTTTAGCTGAGCCATCGCTCCCCCCTAACTTGAAGATCTAAATCGCGGCTTACTATAGGGATCTTGAGAATCGACTTCGTCGGGCTTGAAACACGCTTTATGGCATTTAGAACTTCGGGCTTGCAGGGCTCTGAAGGATTTTCAGGCCTCTGGGGCTTGCAGGGTGTTTAAGCCCGTGGAAATTTCGGGTTTTGGAGCTGCCTTCAGGATCCTCCTTGGGTTTACTATAGGGGCCTCCATAGTTAGAATAGGGTTTTGGGGCATCTTATACTATGACTAAAATTCTATAATAAGGAACCCTGGGAATAATGTTGGTAGTTATTTAGGCCCCAATATTATATTGCACGTAGGGGTGCACTAAATCGAATAAGGTGTTGAGCCTTTACTCGAGCAAAGGGTCTATGGGGGTATGCGATTGCTCATTTTGTTTTGGAGCTTTTGGCATGGTTTTTACAGGAATTATTCAGTGTGCTTTGGTGTGTTCGAACCGGGTTTTGTGGGTACAGTACTGTACAATCATGCAGGCACCATAAGGGCATGTGGCTCCAAGTATCCATCAAGCGGCTACGTATGCAGATTTTCAGGACTTTTGGCACGGGTGGCGCACAAAACTGCGACCTACTCGGGCCAGTTGCGTCGTTGCAGACACTCTCACAACAGGAATGCGATCGACCCCAAACCCGAAACGCTAAACCTGCAACCCGACACCCTGAACCCCGCAACCCGGATAAACCCTAAAGCCTGCAACCCTGCACCCAACCCTCAACCCTAATCAAACCCTTAAAGCCTATCATCCTAAACCTGCAAAAAATCCTGCAACCCTACTCCCTAAACCCTAGCCTAAACCCTAAACCCTGCGACCCTAAAGCCTGCAACCCTAAACCCTGGAAAATGAAACCTAAAGCCTAAACCCTAAACCCTAGACCCTAAAACCCTAAACCCTATAGATCCCTTAAAGGAACCCTTATGGATCCCTTTAAAGGAACCCTTATAGATCCCCTTTAAAGGAGCCCTTATAGATCCCCCTTAACGGAATCCTTATAGACCCCCTTTCAAGGAGCCCTTATAGACCCCAAACCCTGCCAGTCGCGATCCGAGGCACACAAGCATAAGCATTTTATAGGGATATCCCTACCTTATTGGGCTTCATCATGAGGTGGGATATACCTATCCTAATTTTTGCTTAGGTGCTTCTTTGGGGCCCTAGTTAAGGGCTTAGGATTAAAAGCCTATATAAAACCCAAAAAAGCCCGGAAACTGGAAAATGAAACCCTGAACCCTAAACCCTGCAACCCTAAAACCCTGGAAAACGAGACCCTGCCAGTCGCGATCCGAGGCGCACTGGCTGCACGTCATGCTGGGAGTCCGCGCGCTGCCGCCGGGGACCTTCCGGGATCTCTTCCGGGGGGACTCCAGTATCCCCTAACTAAGGAATACCTTAAGGGTTCCTTTAAGGGATCTATAGGGTTTAGGGTCTATGAGACTCCGATATCCCTGAATTAAGGAAATATACCTTAAATTATAAGATCCCTAATATGATTAAGGTTTTCTCCTTAATTAAGGTATATTGGAGTCTCTGAGTTGGGGGACCTCCCGACTCTAACGATTGGTAATTGGATTCGGGGTTCAGGATTTCAAGTTTAAGGTTTAAGGTTTCAAGTTTAGGGTTTAGCATTCAAGGTTCAGGGCTTAGGGTTTAGAGTTCAAGGTTTTTTGTTAAAGTGCAATGACGCTTCTTTCTCCAAAGCGCCTGCCACTGCGGGGCTTACACTACAGTAGGCCCAGCAGTCTCAAAAGAATGACTAGTTTAGGGGTTAGAGTTTCGGGTTTGTGGGATCCGGGTTAAGGGCTCTTGGGGGAGCTTTCCGCTGCAAACTTGGATCGGGAGTTGGAGTGCAGGGCTCGGGAGTTTTAGGGTTTAGGGGTTTGGTGTTTAGGGTTTAGGGTTTAAGGGTTTAGGGGTTTATGGGTTTAGGGTTTAGGGGTTTAGGGTTTGGGGGTTAGGGTTTAGGGTTTAGGGTTTGGGTGTTTTAGGGTTTAGGGGTTAGGGTTTAGAGTTTAGGGTTTAGGGTTATACAGGCGCCTTAACAACTAACACTTCAACGGAAATCCGCCGTCTAAAACATCACGGCCCTGAACTCTACTCAGAGCCTTGGGATCTCCGGTATATGCAAAAAACGCTTATGGAAACCCTTTTACAGCCCTCACGAAGGATCCCCCGACAGAAACCCATGTCCAAACCGCAAAATTCGCACGCTCGCACAAAACCGTACTAAGAGCCTTGTGGAGCCAGATTGTAAGCAAAAAACCACGAAGCTCCACCCTAAACCCCAAATCCTGCCAGCCCAAATCCTCCAGCGAAAGATCATAACTTCTAGGTCCTTCAATCCCCAGAGAGAGATTCCAAAACCGTTTAACTAGGATCTGTTTTACATATATATATATATATGGGTAGGTAGTCATTCCCCCCCCCTGCATTTCTGCAACTTTGCTTTTATATTCATGGATTCTGTTACCTGGTTTCGAAACTAGTGTCTGTTTCGAAACATATCCGTAGGAGGCCCCAACCCGACCCATTAACCCATTAACCCAATCATTTGCCCAACCCATTAACCCATTAACCCAATCATTTGCCCAACCCATTAACCCATTAACCCAATCATTCTGGCCAAATGAAATTGCCTTAACCCATTAACCCATTAACCCATTAACCCAATCATTTGCCCAACCCATTAACCCATTAACCCAATCATTCTGGCCAAATGGATTTGCCTTAACCCATTAACCCATTAACCCATTAACCCAATCATTTGCCCAACCCATTAACCCATTAACCCAATCATTCTGGCCAAATGGATTTGCCTTAACCCATTAACCCATTAACCCATTAACCCAATCATTTGCCCAACCCATTAACCCATTAACCCAATCATTCTGGCCAAATGGATTTGCCTTAACCCATTAACCCATTAACCCAATCATTTGCCCAACCCATTAACCCATTAACCCAATGATTTGCCCAAGTGGGACTAGACTCTACTCCAAAGTTCATTTGGCCAGATTGATTGGGTTAATGGGTTAATGGGTTAATGGGTTAATGGGTTAATGGGTTGGGGCATTTTCATTTGGCCAGATTGATTGGGTTAATGGGTTAATGGGTTAATGGGTTAATGGGTTAATGGGTTAATGGGTTGGGGCAATTTCATTTGGCCAGATTGATTGGGTTAATGGGTTAATGGGTTAATGGGTGAATGGGTTAATGGGTTAATGGGTTAATGGGTGGGTTAATGGGTTAAGGCAATTCCATTTGGCCAGAATGATTGGGTTAATGGGTTAATGGGCTAATGGGCTAATGGGTTTAATGGGTTAATGGGTTATGGCAATTTCATTTGGCCAGAATGATTGAGGTGTCAGCTCGGTTGTGTCTTCACTCCTGCACGCGGGGTTTGCGCTTGTTTGTGGGTTTGGTATGGTTGGGTTCATGGATTAATGGGTTGGGGCCTCCTAAGTCCTAGGGGCATTCGGCTAGATGATTGGGTTAATGGGTTAACGGGTTGTATCTTAACGGCGGGCGTGTGTTTCGAAACATGCCGCTGGTTTCGAAACAGACGCCCGTTTGAAAACCGCTGCAGGTCACTCGTCCGGTACCAGATCTTCCGGGCAGTGGGGTTTTGGAAGTGGTTTGTTTGTAGTTGTTTGTTGTAGTGTCTAGGTTTAGGTTGGTTGTGCCTTGGATGCATCTGGTCACTTTCCTGCGATGTCCTTATGTTGTTTCTTAACTTGACGTACTATCGGCTTTGAAACACAGTAGTTGATGCATCACCGTATTTGCACGACTACGCGACGACCGAAATCAATTATTCCAGTCACTATTCACTACTCAGCGTAACCTTGGTCCTGAAACACAACATGCTCCATCGTATTCGCACGACAACACGACGACTGAAGGACAGTAGACACCCTCATATTCGCATGACGACGGGACGACAAAGACACGATATCCACCAGCATATTCGCACGAATACATATCAACTGACATGTTTCGAGTTCTGTGTGGTGCTGCCGGATTGGCGACTCAACAACAGTGCTTATCGAAACATGTTGGCTTTAGAATCCCAGCACTTCGTAGTATCAGCGTGCCCCCCATCCCTCCCAACCGTGGCTGCAAGAGCCATGTCGTTTTCGGTGAAGGGCACTGCTACCTTGCAGAACGGCAAGGTTTCTTTGGTTCTTCAACCTGATGCCCCTGACTCAACCGCTTCGGCCTCGGGATCGGACCATGCTCAGTTTGACGTTCGCGCGGCCATGATGCAAAAGATCGCTGACGGCCTCATGCCCGTGCACCCAAGTCGTTCACCACTCTCAGCTCGAACTTTGCTCGTCCACATTTGCCACGCCCAAGAGAAGCAGCAGTTTACCAAGAAAGGCATGTACGGTGAGTGGAACGTCCATGCCGAAGCCGCCTTGGCGGCGGCACTTTTGAAACCCAAACGCCTAGCCCTCACCGCTTCGTCGTCTTCAGCACCGGCACCCTTGGCGATCGAGAATTGCAACATTCCGGTTTCAAAAAAAGAGTCGTCCCCCAAGAATACCAAGAAGGCTGAAGCATCATCGTCCTCGTCATCTTCTACCTCGTCCGGGGAGGAGGCCGAAGATGAGCAAGAGGAGAGCGAGGATGAGCAGGAGGAGGCCGATGATGTGCAACAGGAACCCGCCATGCCCGAATACTACCAGTGGACTGATGATTGGCACGATGTCTACGCTCAGCTGTTGCACATCTACGAAAGTTCCGAGCTTAATACCAAGCGGCGTAGGATCATGGACACGCTTTTGGCTGACCTTCGCAAAGCGAAGGGGCACTTTGATGCAGCCGTATAGGCCGTTGTGCACACGAACCCGCGTTCAGGCAAATGTGAGAGCTCTGCATTGCAAGATGTTGCAAGTTCGTCATGTGCAGTTTGTTTCGTATCGGTTGCTCTCTATGCACACGGCGGTGTTTCGAAACAGGGCCTCGGTTTCGAACCACGTGTGGCTGTACACTCGTGATATCACACATGCGTCTTGTCAGAAACATTGCAAAACGCATTCAACGCAGCTTGATTCTCTGAGGGCGACACAGCGCAGTAGTTAGCCAGAGCCAAACATCATCAACTCCGGAGTTTGCTGCTGGGACTCATGATATGAGTTTGCGTCTTGTTGTGTTACATGTTGTGTTCTCTCTTACCCTTTTTTGCATCTTGATGCCACAACAAGGAAAACCAAATGACGACTGCCTACAAGAAAGCATTGGACGAAGTCAAGAACCATGTAATGACTGAACTGAAGACCCCCATCGTGATCACCAATGAGACTGTTTCCGGATCCGTGAACGACTTGCCACTCAAGGAGCACTTCCATCAGTACAAGGCCAAGACGTTGGTGGATATCATCGAGAATGTCGCTCTGCAAGATGTGCCATGGGAGTCGATTGCGACGTGTCTTGCCAATGAACGATATACTGAACTCCCACCTCCGTTTCGCACCGACCGTGTTGCAGACACTGAGTTCGTACTCCAGATTGGGGTTATCAAGAATTCCACCGGCTCCTTCGGCACTGTGATCAAGCACTTCATCTTTGCAGACAAGACTACTTCGTTACGCCACATAGAGGAAATTGTACATGGCACTGGGTACCTCATCGACTACTCACCCAACTTTCGAAGTGGACCTTGTGCATTCCAAATTCTTCTGCAAAGAATGTCTCACTGGATGGTGTCGTTTCGTCGGCTAGAGCAGAAGCAGCCCAGGCCGGTCAAAGAGGATTGTGGTGATCTCCAAGCCGGATTTGACTACATTCGAGAGTTCGGCCCGAAATCCAACATGGGAAATGGCCAGACTGAATGGGCTGAAATTGAGACCCGCAGACTTGGAGGACCGCTGCATGGTTGGAGTGCGGGGTTAGTCAAGGAATGCTTGCGAAACCATTCAGCTTCGAATGTTTACGCTCGTCCAGTCACCAACTTCTTCTTGACACTCCACGACGTCGCAGGTTGGTTTTTCGATGACGTGTTGGTTGAGATCCTGGGTGACCTCAAAAGCCACACTTTGGTGATGATGGGGATGGCCGAAACAGGGAAAACACCGGTGGCTCAAGCCATCGCAATGGCGATCTCAGAATACCATATACTGGCTGGTGGGAAAGAGCAGGAACTGCGGCCGTCCTTTCGCCTCGTTGCTTCCCTGGACCAGCTGCGAGGTGAATCCGGCATCAAGGAACGTCCGGATATCCTTGATGACCCGGATACCAGCGTCATGTCCGTGACGAAGCTGAAAGCTTTCCTTGACAGCACTCTTACCGAGACACACACCGTGGAACGGTGGACCACTTCAAAATTCGAGTCTTGGCTTTGTTCGGCATACTTGTCGGGCTTCAACACTGCAGGGGTACATCGCCTTGCGCTAAACTTGTACACACGGTGATTTGCTGAGGTACGCAATCAGCTCCGAGTGATTTGCGACAATCGAGTGGATGATGATGCCGAGCCAGACTTACCGGAGTCCGAAGGCTTCATTAAGTTCGAGACCTTTATGGACATCATCTCACCAGCCTTCCCCGACAAGTGTTCAAAGCAGGACCGTATGGCCTGCCTCAAACGGGCGCATTGGATCGTAAACATGAAGAAGGCTCTCTATCTTCGACCTGCCGGTACCAAGACAGTTCCTGTCAAGCGCATCCCCTACTTGCACGGCCAGACTGACTTCTTGAACCAAGAGGGCAAGGATATCTTACAGGCCATGCGCGATGGCATTGAGACACCACCAAAGAATTGGGTCCAAAAGAGACAATGGACTCACGATGTCCTGAGCATGATCATCGAGAAGAAAGAGCGACCACGTCGCACTGCCACGATTTTGATTCCCGGGTCAGGCGGTAACGGTCCCACTTCTCGTGACTCAAAGCCACAAGTTCCATTCTCAGGCCGCATTTGTCCAGACTTCTTGCCGACCGTGGACACCGCCGCTTCTATGGAGGACAGGCGCGAGGCTTCCTCTTCTTTGCCAACCGCCGCTAACATTGCCTTAAAGACGGAGGTTGAAGAGAAAGCTTTCTTCCCGCTCATGGTGGCGTCCCACGCAGATGACGTCATTGACTTGGCCACGCCAACACCTCCTCGCTGTAAGCGTCCTCGGCAAGATGATGCCTTTCCCGACGTGGGCGAGGATCCTGAAAACTGAGGTGCCTCCTTCTGCGAATGAAGTCGCGTCGGAAGAACCTAGGTGCTTGAATGTAGCTACAACATTGGTTGACTCTGTAGAAAGGTACACTGCACAGAGAATGTTGGCCTCTGACAAGGCACTCAAGTTTTGTAGTTTGAGTGCCCACTGCCACCTGGATAGAGTGTCACATGACATGCCCATTGCCGCCAACTTGGAAAATGGAGCCACTACGATTTGCTGCAAGTGATGTCGATTGATTGCTTTGCAATTGCTGTCCACCAAGCATTGACTTGTTTCTTGGCAAGTTGCGGGGCTTATCACTAGCAGGTCCACTGCACGTCAGCAAGCAGACTGTCATTGTTTCAATGCCATGTGACAAACAGCAGCGAACACAGTTGAGCGTTCTTGGACCTGGTACATGTACTAGCTTAACGTGGCCTGTGCAACAATGACTAGACGTGCGCGGGAAGATGGCCTTCATGCTCTGGAGCTACCCTCCTGCTCCTTCAAAGAATGGCTCAAGGACGTCGACGAGCACTGCTTTGAGAGCGATGTAGCCTTCCAAAAATATCTCATTCACCGTCGTGTTCTCGACGAAAACGGTGCGAATGTTTCCTTGTCACTGAGGGCAATCGGCATCTTCTTGAAGTACGGGGCTGCTCTACAGATAAAGAGATGCACTAAATGTGGTAAGCCCGCTCGCTTCGAGCAGCGAACCTCGAGGGGATGGACGACTTTTGGATGGACATGCAGTGCTGTTGGGCACAAGCACATGGAACTACAACTCAACCAGTACGGCTTCCTCACTGAAATACCGGTGAATAGCTGGTTCCCGTTTCTCCATCTCATCAACATGTTGCGTCTTTCTATGAACTGGTCCACCATCATCCAGGAGTTGCAGGCGGGCTATGGCAACATCGCCAAAAAGACGATTGCGAAATGGCGTGACGTCTTCCAGAGGGCTATCGGTGCTGCTCTGGACAAAATGGACTGCAGGGTCGTCGGTGGCAAGAAGGAGACGGTCGTCATGGACGAAGCCATCGTCGGAGTCCATCCTGAAGATGGTTGGTCAGTTGGTTCGAGGGGGATCAACAAAGCTGGTGCAGAGCAGACTAGGACAACGGCGCGCCTGGAACGGAAAAAACTGGTTTCCAAGGGTGCCATGAAAAGGCTGCCAGCTCGAACACTTCATGGGTCAGAGAAGGCTTCACGCACCGGGCCACAGCTCCTGAAGAAGCCGGCTTCAACACACATGAAGCGGCCATGTGGTGTGATGAAAACGATCCTGAAGAAGCCTGCTGCCGTTCGACCACCAGCCAAACGACTCAAGAAGACTGCCGCAAACCTCAAGACAAACGGTGCCTGGCTATGGCTTGCTGTCGCTGTGGGCAAGAACAAGGAGATCTACACCCATGACAACGGCAAGAAACGCATCACTTATCGTCTTCTGCCTTCTCGCAAGAAAGCCATAAAGAACAAACCTCGCGGCTTTGAAGAAATCCAAAACACGGTTGAAAAGCACGTCGCGAAAGGCTCGTACTTGGTGTTTGACGGTTGGACTGCTACCAAAAAGGCTGTGGAAGCACTAGGCTATGATTACGCACCTCCTGTGAAACATGAAAAGTGTTTTCGTGATCCTGCTACGGGGTTCCACACGAATGATGCAGAGTCTGAAAACGGCAGGCTCAAAAAGTGGTCAAGGCGCCGCTATGGAAAGCTTTCTTTGGACATACTCGAAATGGATGAGTATGTCTTTTATGTCAATGTCGGAACTGACATGTCTTCAATCCTGAAAGGACTGGCACGAGCCAACGGGGTCATTTGCAGGAACGACCTGCTTGAAATCTAGTAGGGGCACGTCGAAGCTTGAAATCAGATGGGGAAAGCGCTGTGCTGCATTGCACTGCTCTGCTGGCTAGCACAAGTAAACAAGTTAGAGAAACGATGCTCGTGTGTTGCTGCTGAAACATCTGAGGTGCCTACATTGGCTTGGTTGTCTACGAGCATCTGGGTATGGGGCATGACTAGGGTCAGTACATCATTCGCACTGTATTGTATTGGGCGCAATACCGAAGATGCAGAAATGTAGGGGGGGGGAATGACCACGCGCCCATATATATATATATATATATATCCGTCATGATTTATGGTATCAGCAGTCGAACCATTGCAGGACTCTACGGAGTCTCTACGGACTCTAAGCCCTTTGTACCTTTTGGGTTTTGGTTGTGCGGCTTGGCGTAAACCCGAAGACTCTGACCACAAGCCCTAGTCCTAAAAGACTAATCCTACTTGGAGGTTCATGGGTAGTTATAAGTAGGGCTATAAGTCCCCTAAGATGGATTATAAGTATAGTTACCCTACTTACAACCCTACTTATAACTACCCATGAACCTCCAAGTAACCCGTAAGAAGTGTATTCCCTAAACCCTCTCCACCAAACCTGCGAAGCCTCAACCCGGAACCCTGAAAGCCTTCAACCCTAAGCACTAACAAACAAACCTTGATCCAAGAACTACTGCTGATGATATGAATCGTGCACTACCTTAAGGACTCTAAACCATGGGAATTCTGGTATATTCCTCATAATGGGTAGGTAATGCAGGATTTTTGTCCATCAGCAGTAACACAGTTAAAGGAATTGTGAACATGTTATGACGTAGTGACATAGTGTGATAACACATTGTGCTACCCTGCAATCTGTTTTACGCATGTTGAAATGTACAGGAACTACCCTATAATATGCTAGGTTGGCCCTTTAAAGCCTCTGAAAATATTCGTAAATGGGGTCCTATTAAGCCCAATAAGGGAAAATATGAAACATCCCAAAGGCCTATCTAGTATGTGACAGCTGAAGAAACGACGGGCATGAGGGCCACACCTGTGTCGCACACTGGGGACATTCCCGGTAGGTCTCATCTTGGCGCATGGCCCTTGTGTCGGTTTCGGGTGTAGGGCTTCAGGGGTCTGGGGTTTTAAGGTAAGGGTTTAGGGTTTAGGAGGATCCTATGGTTTAGCGTTTAGGGTTTAGGGTATAAGGGTTTTGGGGTTTCCCGATTTGGCAGGGGTATTGAGGAGAGCCTAATCACACAAGCTAGCTGAAAATCCCAAAGTCCTACACTCCGTTCATGGGGTCGGCTTTTGAATTTTAATTTGTGGGCCATTTTCCGGCTACAGGTGCAGTAGAAACTCCTTAGCAGGAAGAGCCGGTTTTAGGGTTGAGGGTTTAGGGTTTTAGCGCATCAACTTACAGCCATGACCCTGTTTAGGGCGCTTTGCAACCATACACCAGAATCCCCAGTTACCCTTGGTTCTATAGGGAGCCCAAGACCACGAGAAGCCTAGTACTTACAAACCGAATTACATTAATTATGTGCCTAAGGTGTTTTGGAGGGATGATGCTCGGCATTGGTAATCATGCAACCGGCCTAAACCGGCGCAGCTTTTCCAGCAGCGCCTCACCGCCAAGGGCCTTCCCGAAAGACTCTGAAGTTGATCTCTCAGCTTCCCCAGTTCAGTAGCACCATAATAATAACAACAATAAGAATAACGTCGCCCTTTTCCGAATTTGCCGATTTAATAAGAAGAACTCAACATGAAAAGCGCAAAGCTGATCTTCAGGATTTGTCAAGCAAGGCTTCCTCACTTGGAGGATCATGGGACTTAGTAAGTCAGGTTCAGGTTATAAGTACCTTGAGTGGGCTTATAAGTGGCTATAAGTATAGCTACCTTATTTATAACCCCAGTTACTAAGTCCCATGATCCTTTAAGCATGGGCTGTTAACAAAGGATGGCTGAGGTTCTAAGGGGGTTGGGGGTTTTAGTTTAGGGGGTTTAGGGGGTTTAGGGTTCAGGGTTCATTAAGGGTTTAGGAATTTCAGGAGTTGACAATCATGTCCCTATCCATTTTCGCTGTGATTGTATATAAGTAGGTTGCGAGCGGGTGCTCAAGGAGGACCTACCCTAAACCCTAAACCCCAAACAGTAAAGTTTAGTGACTGAGCTTTTCAAACTTCATGAACACTAAACTCTTCAAGGTTCATAAACACTAAACTCGCCAAAAGTCTGAAACACTAAACGCTTCAAGCATTCATAAACACTGAACTCTTCAAATATCATAAACACTACATTCCTCAAACTTGCTAAACACGAGGGCTTAGGGTGTTGGTGCTTGAGAACATGTTAACGGTAGGTTTGCAGGGGCTTCAAGATGGATCTAAAACACCGCTGCTTTTTCATACATCCGTCCTGAACCTCTTGACATGCTCTTGCCCTAAATCCTTCTGCAACGCAAGGGCTTTAAGGTTCCGCGTTTGAAAACCTAGGCTTGAGGCTTCGGGGTTACCCTAAACCCCAAACCCCAAACCCTAAGCCCATTGGGCCGTTTGAGGTTCAGGCTAAGGGCTTACGTTTCAAGCTTCTCTTCCTCCAATCTTCGCAGCTATGCCGTCTACGGGGATCAGGCTTTGCGGCTTAGGGTTTGCAAGTTAAACTTGTGTCCCTCCTTCGCTGTCAGGAAGTCGCGACTATCGCAGCTTGTGGAAGCATCAAAAAGGCCCACCAGGTGGGCTCCGGGGTCTTTAGTGCTCTGCCTTAGTTCCGAGCCATCTCGACCCTCGCGAGCTCTACTACACCTTGTTTCCTCAGCTCGACCACCAGTGCTACTGCAACCGTTACCACTTTCATGGTAGCGGAGCCGGCCTAACAGGAGGCCGGTGTCCCGAACGATCCAGGTCAAGTGGCTTCTGGCGGACAGCCAGAAGAGAAATGAGTGGAGTTACGGAGCAGACGCCCGCTGCAGTGGGAAGGACAAAAGACGGCATCCCTACATGGGGCGGTGATGCCACGACCTTTGTCCACTACCAGGAGGCCGCTCTCCTATGGGAGCAGTCGCTTACATGGGAGAAGCGGTACACAGCGGGCCCCAAGCTGGTGCAAGAGTTGAGTGGAGCGGCCAAACGCCTGGTGGCCGGACAGCCACCGGGATGGGTGGCCTACCGCGGCGGTGTGACAGTGCTGATGGACCACCTTCGGCGAGCTCTTGGGAAACCAAGAGTCACAGAAGTCACCGACTTGTTGGCCGCCTACTTCAAAGGCACAAGACGCAAACCTCAGGAGAACATGAACGATTACATCACCAGAAAGACTGAGGCGTACATGAGGGCGAGCCAAGCACTGAAGCGAGTTCAGCCGCACTACGAGCGAGAGACAACCCATGCTACCCTCTATGAGCCGGAAGCCCGGCGAGCAAGCATGGAGAGCTCCCACCGACCGTGGTCCCGTCAGTGGACCCCAGCGAATGAGGAGACCACTGCAGGGGGAGCCGAAGCTCCCACAGAGGCTACCGGAGATGGAGATGCAGAGACGGCCACCCGGGCATCAACGCAGGCAGAAGAGGACCCCTGGCGTGGATGGTACAGCCGGCAAGAACCTACAGGATGGAACACGTGGAGTGGATGGTCGTGGAACTACCAGTGGGGCAGCTACTGGAATCGCCGTGACTGGGCCAGCGATTCTGGCTCTACAAGGACTTCGACCCAGGAGGGGGGAGCCACCATGGAACTCCTACCACAGTTCATCCAAGGGTGGTACCTGTTGGCAGACGCGAACATCGACTCCAATGAGCGCAACATCGTGATGACAGCGCTGGGAGGGAACTTCGAGCCCCAAAGGGTAGCTCAAGAACTCCGGAACCAGTTCTCCGAGTACGATGTGAAGAAGCGGGACTCCCAACGGAGATACCAGAGCTACATCGGGGAGGCCATGGACGAGGACGAGGACCAGCACGAGATCTATGACGACAACCTCGACCACCTTCCCTCGGAGGGGATGTCCGAAGAAGGCCTAGCCATGGTGGTGGACGCCGAAGAAATTGCTCAGGAAGCCATGGCCACGATGTTCAACGCCAGGAGAACCTTACGAGATGCCAGACAGAAGCAACACGCTGTCAAGCAAAACCGCAAGTACTACCACGGGAACAACCGAGGCAACGGTGCAGCAACTTCCTCGTCTACTACCAAGCCACGAGATGATAGCAACATCGAGTGCCTCCGATGTGGCCAGCGTGGTCATCGAGTTGCAGCCTGCCCTCACAAGCCCCTGAGTGAGACTAAGGGCCAGGCCAATCTCGCCGAGGACAACCAGAAGGAACCTCACCAGGCTCCCTTCGTGTGCTTCGCCGACGTTCCGGATGACTCCATCGCGGACCTTGACCATGCCGCCTTCCACGTTCGCGACGTCCCCAATGACGACCTCACAACAGCTGAAGCCGTCAAACGCGGCATGGCCGTGATCGACGGCGGCGCGACCCAAACCATAGGGTCAGTGGCCGCTGTGGAGGCCGTGATGAAGCAGAACCAGGCCAAGCGAGGGCACAGCGGTCTTTCGGGAGTCAATGCCGAGGATCCCCCAGTGTTTTCCTTTCGGAACTCCACGGAGAACCGCTGTCTGAGCACAGCACGCCTCCAGATCACCGCGAATGGCAAGCCTGGCGAGATGCAGATCCACACGCTGGAAGATGGCGAGAGCCCCATTTTGATGAGCATCGACACACTGAGGCGAGTAGGTGCCATCATAGATTTTGATGCTGACCTAGCAGTCTTTAGGAACTTAGACCCAGGCCGAGTCCTGAAGCTGATCCGCGGCAAGTCAGGGCACCAATTGCTGCCTTTAACCGAGGACTGGATGGAACAATCTGTGAAGGTCCCAAAGCCGGTGCCAAGCCTGGCTGCCTATCTGCCGCACTAGGGACAGCACCTTTCTGCTTTTGACCCTGACAAAAGTAGGAAGGACCGTTGTGCAGTTTCAGGGAAGAGCCAACCTAGCACTGTTTCTGCGAATCACTCTGGGGAAGATCGAGTGTACAGTAGTGATAGTGTTGAGGTTGCTAGGGGAAAGGAAACTTTGGAGGAAGCCGAGTGCATGCGCCAGCCGACAGACAGTGACAGACTACAGCGTGTACGTGAAGAACCTTCCTGTGCCCATTGCAGCAATCCCAGCTCAGACCGTAGACGAACCCGTGTGCGATTCTGCCTAGGATACCATGGACAAGATGACAACTCCCCAGATGGTCCTCTCTCTTCGCGCCTACGGAGAGGATCCTCCCAAGGGATGGTCCAAAGTGCAGCTGCTACAGAGGCTCAAGGAACTCGAGAGCGAAGGGGAGATCACAGCACCTACCACTCGATCTACCAAGACGCCCCTTCAGGAAGCGGTGCAGGCACTCAACAAGGCGGGATCCAAGAAGGCACTCCTTCAGAAGTATGTGACGGAGGAGTGCGGCATCAAGATCACGGGCAACGAGACTATGCCCATTCTCACGCAGAAAGCCATGAGCCACCTCTTGGCATCGGTGGAGCCAGTGGGGTCAGAGCCACTGGGCTTCGGGAAGTATGCGAACCAGACGTTCGAGTCCGTGGCCTCCCACGATCGCCAGTACTGCCAATGGGTAGTGACCACAGCTTCGGAAGGCCAATGCTCGGAGTATCTACGCCGGTTCGCTACGTGGCTCCAGAACACCGAGCGCAACAAGGAGGAAAAGAACCCCAAGGCGAAGGCCAAAGTGGACATTGGCCAGTTGATGACCAAGAAGAAGAGCGGCGGCTACACCACGACCGGCACGGAGGACCCCAAGACCGGCACGGTGAAGGAGGAAATCACCCCGCGCGACAGGGTGACGAAGGAGACGCCTACTCCGACGACGACGGCAGCCACCTCGAGTACGATGGACCCGGTGATCATGCAGCTGGTGTCGGCGGTCCAGACCTTGGCCCAGGAAGTCCAGCACCTCAAGGAGGAGAAGTCCGCGGCGCAACCCCGCAAGATCCAGGCCAAGGCGGACGAGTCGATGACGAGCGACGAGGACAGGAGTTAAGCATGAGTGCCAGTCGGAAGGTTGAGTACAGGGCAGAGAGGGTGATTCCGAACATGTTTGAAGAGTTGGTAGGACACACTAGACCTGAGTTGCTTGAGTTGACGTGTGATACTACAAGCCCCCTGGTCGAAGAGTTCCGCACAAGGAGCTCAAGAAGTGATGCGGCGCATAGATGTGCGTTGTTGAACGGGCATGACATTGCCCGGCCAGAAGGTCTTAGGGTAGTCCTGGAACAGATCCTCAGTTTGAAGCCCAAACATGTTTGGATTAGCCTTCCTGGTAAAGCGTTTAGCTCCTTACAAAACATTAACCAAAGGTCCCCGACCCAAATCCAAGACCTGAAGGCCAAACGTAACCTTGCCATGCGAACCTACGAGAGCACTGTGGAGATCACAAAAGTGTGTCGTCAAGCAGGCATACATGTGACAGTCGAACTTAGCGAAAGAAGTGAGGCTTGGAGGTTACCGGTCCTTCAGAAGTTGCGCTTTGAGTCGGGTCTGTTGAGTTGCGTCGCCAAAGGGTGTTCAGTTGGGTTGAGGGGGTCAAATGGGCAGTTGATGTTGAAAGGGTGGAGAATCCTCACGACTCATCCTCGACTGGTCCAGAAGCTCCACAAACCATGTTTGTGTTCTACGAAGTATGAACATGCCAAGTGTGAGGGCCCCAATGCTAAAGCCTCAAGCCAATACCCTCCCGAACTTACCAGGCTGATCCATGAAGCCTTGACAAGGGAAGGGAATTTTGATGAGGTGATTCAGGAGTGTCAGGGAAAGACGAGGTTGCCAGAGGGTTTTGGAGAGGGTTTCGGATGTGCGTGTGAGTCCATTTCAGAGGGTTGTGGAGTGTGTCAGGCGAAAGAGGTTGAAGTAGAAAGGTCTCAATGTCCTGGAGGTCTCGAGGCCCTCATGAGCCAAAGCCAGGTCCAAGAACTCGAAGCTGCAGCTAAGGACCTTGGTAAAACCCGAGAAGCCTCCCTCAAGCATCTCCAAAACCTCCTGCAGCAGTTTCCCCTGAAGAACGTAGGTCAATCCCGTCGAAACCATGGAAAACCGAACGACTACCACGTGTTCGGAACCTATGCGTGCGGTAATCACTACGGAAACACCCTGAGGACCCAAAGAACTCCCGAACTCTGTAGGCTCATCAACAAAATCCTCAAAGCTCACCTCCCCAAGCAATTCCGATGGACGTCGTTCGCCCTCAACCATGGATCGATGATGCCTATCCATCGAGATTCTCACAACGACCCGCGGTATCCTAACGGCAGCATAGGGTTTGGGAATTTCAAAGGGGGATCATTATGGATTGAGGAAGGAGGGGTGCTTAACGAGAGAAAAGGGATTGTGTCGGAGAGAGAGGGTTTTCAAGGGAAGATGTTGAACGGTGTTGAAGTTGACATTCAGAATCAGGTTGTGATTTTCTCGCCCCAGTCCTGGCATGGAACCTGCCCTTGGGAAGGAGATAGATGGGTGATCACGGCCTTTGTGAGTCGGGGTTGGAAGCACTTAACTAGAGAACAATTTCAAGAGCTTCAAAATCTCGGGTTCCAGGTCCCCGACAGCCAACAAGCCGAAGCTTATGCCCTGGACGAATCTCAACCTGCCCTCAGGGATCGTAGAAAGGAGGACGAACGAATCCGCAAACAACTGTACTTGCTGCATTGCGCCACTGGACATAGCCACCCCAGGCACATGATTCAGGCTCTGAAACAAAGGGGTGCTGATGCTCGAACCCTGGAATTGGCCGAAGGTTTCTCGTGTCCCGTGTGTAGTGAGAAGAAGAGGCCCCCTCCGCGGAGTCTTGCCTCTTTGGAACCTCTCCCTCCCAAGCTTTATACCATTGAAGCTGACATAGGGAACTGGGTCCACCCTCAAACCGAGGAAAGTGTGAACTTTATGCTTGTCATAGATGAAGGGTCGCGCTTCCGCACGGCTCGAATCCTCAGCCTAGGTAGTAAGCGCACGCCATGTGCGCAAGACTGCCTGCAGTACTTGCAGGAAGGATGGGTTCAGTACTTCGGGCACCCGAGGTGCCTTCGCTTGGACCCAGCCGGAGCCTTCCGGAGTGCAGCTGTAGAAGAATGGTGCGACAAGCACAACATCTTTCTGGACATAGTCCCAGGCGAGGCCCATTGGAAGATAGGAACAGTTGAGAATGCGGTAAAGGGCGTGAAAGAGCTGATGACAAAACTCTCCCTGTACGACAATGAGCTGAGTCCTCAACAAGCGCTAGCTGAAGCTATCACCACCTTTAATCACAAGGAGATCATCCGCGGGTATTCGCCCGCCCAGCATGTGTTGGGTCAAGCTCCAGACGAGACAGGTCGTTTCATACCTCATCTTTCACAACCACATCCCGATCTTCTGGTCGAGAACCCTTCCGGAGAATTTGAGCGAAGTGTCCACCTCCGAGCTACGGCCGAAAAGGCCTTGTGTGACTGGAGTGCGCATCAGAGACTGATGAGGGCCAAACACTCTCGCCACCGGCCTTGTTACGACTACGTGCCGGGCGAGCTGGTCTACTATTGGAGGACCCAGGACTCCAATAAAGGACGACGACAACCGGGAGGTAAACATGGCAGGTTCTTAGGACCTGCCCGGATCCTGGCTACCGAGACGCGACGAGCTGAAGATGGGAGTGCAAAACCAGGCGGGGCAGTATGGCTTGTCAAAGGTCGCAGTTTACTTAAGTGTGCACCAGAGCAATTACGCAGGGCGACCGAACGTGAAGAGCTGGTCGAAGGACTGAGTGATCCCTCTCAACAGCGGCTTTCCTGGACCTACCACACTGTGGCCAAGGAGATTGGGGGCAATCGTTTCGAAGACATCAGTGCTGAGACACCCAGTCAGGAGGAGTGGTCCCGCGCCCAAGATCCAGTTGAGGAGACACAACCCGTGCGATTTCGACTGCGCTCTAAGCGCGGGGCCACTGCGGAACCAGCCTCCACGGCCATGGAGGAGGACCAAGACGAGGCCGCGCCAACGTCAGCGACCCGAGAGCGCTCACGCTCACGGGGCCGTGCCGGAACCAGTGGCTCACAGCCTGAAGAACATCCCACCGCATGGTGGAACACGGTGCGAGAGGAGAAGTGGCCTGAACAGGAGGCCAGCTACTGGTCAGACAAAGCGGCGGCGGTGGAACTGGAGTTCACTCTACCTACGACCCACCGAGGACAAGAAAAAGCGTGGAGAGACCTCAGTGGCTACTTCATCGGTAGCATGAAGCGCCGGGCAGTGGAACTCTCTGAACGTCGCATGACACCAGAAGAACTACGTGAGTTCCAAGGGGCCAAGGCTATTGAAGTCAAGAATTTCGTGGCTTCCAAGGCTTTCGAGATCCTCCCGGACCACTTGAAGCCGGACAAAAGCCAGGCGATTGGAATGCGTTGGATTCTAACCTGGAAGTTGCGAGAAGACGGCACCCGAAAGCCCAAAGCTCGTGCAGTACTTCTCGGCTACCAAGACGAGGCCTACGAACATAGAGCCACGACCTCACCGGTCATGACGAGGCAGACTCGTCAACTCCTCTTACAGGTTTCAGCGTGGAAGCGCTGGAAAGTGCAAAAAGGAGACGTCACCGGAGCTTTCCTACAGAGTAGGCAGTACCCTGACAAGCTGTATTGCATTCCTTGTCCTGAGATCTGCGAAGCCCTTCACATCCCAGCCGGAAGCGTGACCAAGGTCCAGAAAGCTTGTTATGGATTAGTTGATGCACCTCTGGAATGGTACCGCTCAGTGGATCAGTTTCTCCGGGAACAGGGGTTTACCAGGTTGTGGTCGGATTCCTGCTGTTGGGTTCTCCGGGTCGATGGTTGTCTTCGGGGAATCGTCAGTGGTCATGTCGATGATTTCCTTTTTGGGGGAAAAGAGGGTGACGAACTGTGGGAAAGCAAGCTGGCGGCCATCAAAGCCAAATTTAAGTGGGGAGATTGGGAATCAGGGAAGTTCACGCAATGTGGGGTGATCATAGAACAAAAGCCCGATGGGTTTGAGCTTTCCCAACCACACTACCTCGACAACCTCCAAGAGATCAACGTGTGTGCTAGCCGTAAAAAGAACAGGAGCCTCCCCACTACCGACAAGGAGAAATCCCAATTACGCGCTCTGCTAGGAGGAGTCAGTTGGCACGCTCAACAGGTGGCACCATACCTGGCTGCCGAAGTAAGCCTTCTCCTAACCGAGGTATCCCGCAGCACTGTGGAGACGATCGTGAAGGCCAACATGCTACTCAACACCGCCAAGTCCAAGCGGTCCTACAAGATGAAGATCCACTCCTTCGATGAGTCCGATGAGCTCACCATGGTGATGTGGGTCGACGCGGCCAATGCAAACCGCATTGATGGTGGGTCCACACAGGGCTTGTTCCTCGGAGTCACGACCAAGCAGATGCTCCAAGGGCAAGTTTCTGCTGTCTCCCCTGTGGCATGGCACTCTCAGAAGATAGAGAGAACGTGTCGCTCACCTGGAGCGGCAGAGGCGCAAGCAGCTGTCAACGGCGAGGACGGACTCTACTGCGGAAGGCACCAGTGGAGTGAAATTCTCCATGGAACCGGAGACCTACACGATCCAGATGGCCTGGTACGACTTACAGGTGGCTGCGTGGTCACCGACAGCCGCAACGTCTACGATCGACTCAACACCGAAGTGCTGGTGGTCAAGGGGGCGGAGAAGCGCACAAGCATTGAGCTCCTGGCGATCAAAGAATCACAGCAGAACACTGCTGTAGAACTACGTTGGGTTCACAGTGAAGCCCAACTGGCCAACAGCCTGACTAAAGCAGGCGGCTACCGGGAGTACGACCTCTACCATAAGATGAACCATAGCTGGCGTCTCGTGGAGGACCCCAGCATGATGTCCGCAAAACGCCGAAAGGATCTCGGCCTACTACCTTTGGAGCAGCCCAAGGCCGAACCCAAAGTTTCCGAGGGGTTAGATGGTTTTCATAATCAAGAGTGATTCTCAGAAACTGCTCCACAGAGCCAGAAGTGCTCACATACTCCACTGGGGTGGAGTCCCTTTAATGTCTGCCGGGGGAGGGGGGCATGCAAGTTAAACTTGTGTCCCTCCTTCGCTGTCAGGAAGTCGCGACTATCGCAGCTTGTGGAAGCATCAAAAAGGCCCACCAGGTGGGCTCCGGGGTCTTTAGTGCTCCGCCTTAGTTCCGAGCCATCTCGACCCTCGCGAGCTCTACTACACCTTGTTTCCTCAGCTCGACCACCAGTGCTACTGCAACCGTTACCACTTTCAGGGTTTAGGGTTTAGGGTTTACGGTTTAGGCCCGCCCTCAGGCCGTGAACCTTGGGGTTATTGGGCTTGATTGAACTACGGGTAGGGCCCTGGCCCCGAAAAGGCAAACCCCTGCACCCTAAACAAACCCGAAACCCTAATCCCTAAACCCGAAACGGCTGGCAACCCGACAATCCCAGAGACTCCAATATCTCTTAATTAAGGAATATACCTTAAATCATATAAGGGATCCTACCATAATTTAAGGAATATTCCTTAATTAAGGGGTATTGGAGTCTCTGGGATCCCCCAAAAGTCTTTGGGGCTTCAGCTTGCCTGTTTAGTCTGGGGAGAGCTGCCGGCAACTAAACTCCGAGCCCTAAACGTTTACGGTTTAGGGTATAGGGTTTTAAGCCGTAATGTAGGTTTTGGGGCCCATTATGCTTTAATTTTAACAAGGAGCGCTCGAAAATAGTCTAGGTAATTAATACGGCCCCTGCACCATAGAACCCTACTAAAGATCCTCGACATATACACCCCTTTAAACGGACCCCTTACTTTAAGGGAACCCGTCCACCCCCCAAAAAAAGTAGATGAAATCCTTAAGGCCCCTATGTTAAACCGACACATGAACCCTAAACCCTATACCCTAAACCGGCTTTTCCTCGACATCGGCATCGGCAACCTCTCTGGCGCAGCCACTGTCCAGACCTGAGCGCACAGTCCCAGATCAGGGTTTAGGGTTTTTAGGGGTTTAGGGTTTTTAGGGGTTTAGGGTTTTTAGGGGTTTAGGGTTTAGAGTTTAGGTGTTTAGGGGATTAGGGGTTTAGGGGTTAAGGCTTTAGGGTTTAAGGTTTAGGGTCAGATCACTGATCACCAGCTGCTTCATGGGCTTGATGAAAACTAGGGTAGGGCCCTACCCGCAAAGGGCCAACCCCTACACCCTAAACCCCAGACGGATGGCAGCCCTTGCTTTTCCATGTGCTCTTTTCCGACGGCAGGTAGAGAGAGAACTCCTTCCCAGGTTTAGGGCCTTGGGTTTAGGATCAGGGCTTTAGGGTCTCCGGGCTCAGAGGCTTAGGGTCTCCGGGCTCAGAGGCTTAGGGTCTCCGGGCTCAGAGGCTTAGGGTCTCCGGGCTCAGAGGCATAATTACATGCTTTAGGGCTTTCGGGTTTTAGGGTTCGGGGTCTTTGGGCTTCGGTTGTCGGAGTGGGTCTCGGATGTATGGTGTCGGGTGGAGAACTGCGCAGAAACCCTGGCCCGAAGCTACAGAGTCCGCTGCCAGTGTCAGGCCAGTTCAGTGCGAGGTCTTTAAGGGTCTTTATGAGTCTTTATGCTTGAATTCGGCGGAGCGGATCTGCCCATCTCCAAACCTCGACGTTCGGCCGTAGTGCTACAACTGAAATTTCTAGTGGCTCGGACTCGGCGTCATGGCATAGAGCCGGCCATTGCCAGGGCTCCAAATGCTTTGCCCCGGAAGAAGCTTCTGAGAGGGGCAGGGCGTCATGCTGCAGAAAAGCACAGCTCCAGAACGCAAGCCCAGGTGTCGAGGGCAAAGTTGAGGCTGGCCAAGGTAAATCAAAGGGGAAAAGGAGGGACCCTTAATGGGGACCCCTACCCTATAATGGGCTATACAATGGGTATATAATAGCTATATTAAGGGTATATACCTAGGGGTCCTTATTAAGGGTCCCTCCTTTTCCCCTTGGAGTAAAGCCAGTCGAGAAGAAGCACCACGGCGTTCAGCCCGAGACGTCGAGGACAACGATTGGGCAGAAGAGAAGGATACGGTTGATGATATAGATCCTGCACTACCCATAATAAGGAATATACCATAACTCCCATAGTTTAGGGTCCTTAAGCACTACCCATGATAAGGAATATACCATAACTCCCATATTTTAGGGTCCTTAAGCACTACTCATAATAAGGAATATACCATAACTCCCATATTTTAGGGTCCTTAAGCACTACCCATAATAAGGAATATACCATAACTCCCATAGTTTAGGGTCCTTAAGCACTACCCATAATAAGGAATATACCATAACTCCCATAGTTTAAGGTCCTTAAGCACTACCCATAATAAGGAATATACCATAACTCCCATAGTTTAGGGTCCTTAAGCATTACCCATAATAAGGAATATACCATAATTCCCATAGTTTTTGGTCCCTAAGGTTATGCAGGATTTATATCATCAACCCCTAACCCTAAACCCCCTATAGATCCCCTGAAGGGGCCCCTATAGATCCCTTTAAAGGAACCCCAGGATTTTTTTGTCCTCAACAGTGGGGGAAAGGCATCGGTCAGGCCCGCCTGGACGAACCTTCCTTCTCAGAGTTACCTTAACCTACCAAACCCTACTTTTTTGTAGGGTCCCTCTAAACTCCATATGGGAGTTTCCGAAAATAGGGGACCCTAATATAGTAGCCTAAATTGCCTAAATCGTAGGATCCTTATAAGAAGGACCCCAGAATAAGGTACCCCTATTTTCGGAAACCCCCATATTAGGGTTCATCATAAGAACCTACCAAAAAAGTAGGGTTTGGCAGGCTGAGGTAGTCATTTACAATCGCAGTATCGCAGGGTCCACATCCGAAACCTCGAAAATCTCTGTGTCCATACCCCAAGCCGCAAAACTGGTTCCCTGAAACCTTAGGGTTTAGGGTTTAGGGTTTAGGGTAATTCCTTTCCCTGAAACCTTAAAGCCTGCAACCACAAGGCCCTAGACCCTTAACCGGATTCTCGGAGATGGCCTAAGGGCTGAAGCGTGGTTTATGCATTCACCTCCAGGAGGGCGGATCACGCGCGAACATACCCAAACCCCAAACATGCACATGGGTGGTTGTCGAAATTATGGGCCCTTTTTGGGGTACCCTGAATATTAGATGAAGGACCCAAAAAGGGACCAAAATTTTGACAACCACCCACATGGAATCGAAGCCCCAAGCCCTCATTGAAAAGCCTCGAAACGAATCCGTACAGTTTTGACCCCAAAACTCAAAACCCTACCAGAACCCCTAGTAGGAGCCCTTCAAGGAACCCCCAGAAACATCCTAATCCCCCAAACACCGAAACCACACACCCTAAACTCCTAAACAACTAAAGCCCTAAACACCCAAACCCGAAACGAACCGTTGCAGACAAGCTTCCCGCGGAAGGCGGCTCGCCGCCGCCCAAAGCAGAGGGCAAGAAAGGGCACAGCAGGCTGCGCACGGCGGCCTGGTTTAGGGTCTAGGGCTTAGGGTTTAGGGCTAAGGGTTTAAGGTTTTGGGTGAGGGGCTTCTAAACCCTAAACCTAAACCCTAAACCCTGAACCCTAAACTCCAAAGCCTCCAACCTTCCATGGACGCCCTCAGCCCTGCAGCTTGAAAGAAATTAGGGCGCTTGTTGACAGAGTTGTTGCGGACCATAAACCGTCTAGAAAACGTAAGAGTTCTGCACGTATGGACATGCGTGATTGCTTTGGGGTTGTTCTGCCAGACCCAAAGACTGCAACACCCCTGTCATCGAGGATAGTACCGTAAATCATTGCAAGGAGCCCATTTATTTAAGTACAAACCGGAGTTCAGGAGCCCATACTCCCGATAGAGCCCTGTAAAGGTTTATACACCCTATCGTTTCGGTATGTTGCTTGATACTGAAACGCCCTGAAAACCATCATGAAATGAATGGAAACCCATGCTATGTTGTTATTAAAAAGACGATGTTTAGCACTAAATGGGGTTGAAACTGTTGCGGGTCGCAGATCAAGGTAGCCACAACCCCGAAGAAATCAGCGTGGAGCTGTCCAGGGTTCAGGGAGCCAAGGTGTAGGGTTCAGGGGTTGGGGTGTATAGAAGTGCAAGGCTTTAGATTTCGGGTTTAGGGTTGTCGAATTTCGGAAGATCAAGCGGAAACCCGCGTGCAAAAGCGCAAACTCCTGCCTCTTGCACCTTCAGCTCCACATAACCTGCTTGGAGGTTCATGGGTGGTTATCTACAAGTAGGGTTATAAGTCCCCGAATATGGGTTATAAGTATAGTTGCCCTACTTATGACCCTACTGACAACTACCCATGAACCTCCAAGTGGCCGTCGTGAACTCCGGGCTCTTCTGGGGCCCAGCTATTCTAACCTAGACCTAAGAGCAACCTAGGAACAAACCAGGGTGCCCTTTTTGGTCTAAAGGGATTATAAGGGAAGCTAAGCCCTGAAAAAGGGAGAGGAAACCTTAACCCCTGAACCCTAAACCCTAACTTGGATTCGGGGTCAGGGGCTTCTTACTACTGTTGATGATATAAATCCTGCATTACCTTAAGGACGCTAAACTATGGGACTTATGGCATATTCCTTATTATGGGTAATGCAGGATTTATATCATCAACCGTATCAACCAGGTTGAAAATTTGGAGGCTTCGCATGTAGAGGCCTTATGGCTTCCGGGCCTCAAACCAACCCTAAACACTGTAAACCCTGACTCCCTGCACCTTGTACACCCTAAACCCTTACTAACTTCTAAACCCGATATGCCTTAAATCCTATACGCCCTGAACCACCTCCTAAACCCTATATACTCCTTAAACCCTACGCACCCTAAACCGTCCTAAACCCAAGACCTCTTGAACCCAAAGCACCGTGAACTTCTACACCCCGAACCCTCGTAAACTCCACACGCCTTAAAGCCTATGCCCCAGAACCTTCCTAAACCCTATAGCCCTTAAACCCGATGCACCCCAAGCCCCGCCC